ATATAAAAAACCACACTCTGTTGCTTTACCCAACTGTTTTTCCTCAAGGATTCACAGTCAAAGACACAGAATGAAATATGCTCCAGATCAGGCTCCATCTAATAAATCTAACAAAAGGGGACAAGAAAAAAAAAAAACCTTACTCTGTAAAGGTCGTATTGAAGTGACTTTTACAGAGAGATGATCTCACTGGGCGTCCTTCTACAGACGGTACAGGCATTCCTTCAGTCCACAGAGAAATAACTCATATTTGATAAACTGGCCGTTCAGCTGCAGTGCTCATTTGCATTACATCTCAATCCATCAATATGAAAGGCATGCTCTGTCAAAACTAATATATTTAAAACCGCTTTCTGTCTCTACCTTAGGCTGCTTTTTCCCTCTACGATCTAGATGCGTTTAATATTACTCCTACAAGTAAATACAAAAGCGGCCTGGACCCAGAATTACCATATGCACGCATTACTCACACTCCACTAAAGAGTCCAGCTGACAAAGCTAATGTGATTCGTCCATGCATAAAGGAAGCCAGACAGAAGGTTCACCCTTAGACTCGACACCACGAAACCAATTAAGTCACTTCATTTGACGAGCACCAAAGAAGGAGAAAACTAATCACTTCATCAAAATCATTACAGTTTAATTGAGTAACTATAAGGAGCATTTGCTCTCATTTCTATGTCTTGACAAATACTTTGTTGTTGATACATTTGTTCAATGCTGCAACCAGTTGTCGGCGGGAAACGTGATGCAAACAAAAGCAAAGTTATCATTTCATTGTGGATTTGGCTGCCTGACCTGAGTTTTTGTGCAATCTAATGTCAAGCATGCCTCACAGAGGTGTAATGACCGGAAAGTCGTAAAATCAGGAGAGCAAGTGGCTTGCACAGTGTTGCTGCAGACTTTAGGGATTGATGGGTTTTTTAGAAGAACAATCTTAAGCTGAAAAAAAAACACATTCTGAGCTGGAGAACTGCATAGAAAATGTACAAAACTGTAACAGTAATATGTAGTCTTATAACTACCGACAGGTGGACGTGATATAGGATGTTTTCACACCTGATAGTAGAGTGGACTTCATTTAATTTGGGACCAATGTTGTAACATTTGTTACATTTTTACACTGCAAACGACTTCAACACTTTGAAAAACCTGTTCCCCTCCTCGCCTGTGGTGGCGCTGCACCAAGAACCACTGAAAGAAACAACACAAAACCCTCTGAAGAAGACATGAGGGCGACTTCCTTCACAAAATGCAAACAGATTTTGGTGGCTGTAGAATTTCTTTTTTTCTTTGGTAACAGACCACGAGTTATTTCTCCCAGACTAGCGTGTTTGTTTTGGTTGCATTTACCCAGAATGCCCTGCACTATAGTCCCCTTCCTCCTTTTGGAGTGGTCTCCGGTCCACTTGGCATTCACATATGTATTAGAAAAGCACATATGCATTTTGGTCCATATCAAAGTTCGATTAGCATTCCCACTTCCACAAATGAACCAGACTTTCTAGGAAATCTAGAGTTAAATTAAAGTGAACCAAACAATGCTGGTGTGAAAGTACCCTTTGGCATCTATTAGTGGGTTTCTAATTTAAAATAAGTCTAAAAGAATTCGTCACAGTTTGCTGCAAACCAATCAGGGTGAACATGCCGACCTCTGAGGATGACATTGCAACAGCATGCTCAATGCCAAGTATAATAGCTTTCCCTGATGGTTGGAGTGTCTTTCAGCAGGATAATTCAATTCACTTCAAAAATACTTTACTAATCCCAAAGGTAAATTAAAGATTTAAGCAACCTGAACCAAGTTTGCACCCCGCCACAAAGCAAAAACAGCTCAGGACTGGATTGAGGAGAACAACAACAACAACAACAAATATTAAGGGTTGACCAGGCCTCTGCATTCAGGCAGATCTCAAATTAAATCTAGCATCTGTGGAACGTTCTGCACAAAGGCGGCTAATCCACGGAGGCTCCCCCTCACAATTCACAGGACAAAAAGGATATTTTGCAAACATTTTGATGACAGACACCAGAGCACAACATCAGGGCTCTAGTAGAATCCACAACTTGACAACAAAAGGAAGAGCAACACAATATTAAGTAGGAGGCCATAACATTATGCTTATTGGTGTGTCTTTCACAACCTACAACAGAAAAAATCTATTAGGACAATAATTAGGAAGCAAAGTAAAAAATTTGTCATGTTACAGAAAAAACATGTCCTATTTATACTCCACATGTTTTGCTTTTACTAACATTTATTTGAATTTCCCTCTACTCTAATTGTATAACAATGATCTTAAATGGTATAAAGAATAATAAAACAAACTTTCTCCAACCTCGAAATTGTAATTGTTCTTCCCCAAATTGCTGGTGCAACCTTTATTTTATAAGTAAATATGGTTCTTTCTTAAGAATGGACTAGATGAGAGACAAAAGTGAAGCTGTCTACAAGAAAGGGCGAAGCAGACTTTACTTCTTAAAGAAGTTTAGGTTAGTTTAGCTACAGCATTTGGTCTACAAGCCTGTTGTGGAGGGAGCAAACTTTATTACCATTATCTGTTAGCATAACAGCATCAGAGCCAGGAAACTGCTAAACAACCTGGCAATGAACACTGGGGGAATTGAAGAAGGATTTTTCAGAAAAATCAAGAAAATTGAACAACCGTAAAAATACTCTTCACGAAACTGCTTTATAACAGAGCCTTCAGTCAGAGGCTTCTTCATATCTATTGTAATACAGACTGCTACAGGAGATCCGTCCAACACAGAGCCATCAAGATCTACAAAACAATATTTAATTTCATTTGCGAACAATAAAGTGTTTTTGAATGCTCTTTGTGGTAATAAATGATAATTAATGCCTTACAGGATAAACGCAACATGCAAATGTATAACTAATCATACCGACTGAGCTGTAAATGATCCACTTCACGCCAGATTAGGTTAGTTTAAACTAAAATTTGAAGTGTCAAAGCGAAATGAAATTGTTACCTACCTAGGACACGTGCGGTTGTTATAAACATACTTCCTGTTCCTCTATAAAGCGCTTGTTTGGCTGTCAGTTGTGGTAACACGTGTTGATCTGATTGCATTACCAGTATGACAAATTTAGTTTAAAGTGTGGCATATTTTTCGGGAAAAATAGACGCTGCTCTCATTTAAGTGAAATAACACAGCTTTATGAACAGTAACTGATGGAAAGCCCTCTTGGTTTTGTAGACTTTAAATTGCTTTAGCTAGTGTTCGCCTCTGTTGCTGACCTGAACTTCCAATACTTCCCAAAAGGCCTGCTGGCAACGAGAAATCCGCGAAATGGAGCTGCCATACGTACCGATGAGAATCGCTCAAATCCCCAACATCCCAGTTAATCAGATGCCGATAAAAGTTGGGAGACGTGACGATGCAGTTAAAACCAGAAAAACTAGACGGCGTTGGCGCAAAACACGTGTGACCCGTTAACAGAAAGTCTGCAAGCAGGTTAAAGTCGGAATATTAAAAATACAACCTGACATTAACGCCAAACCAGAAGACTGGTCCCCCTGAAACGTTAGCGCCGTCCAACTTCCAGGGAGAGCACACTTAATCTATAGCATGTCGCTTAGCGGGCTAAACGTAGCAAACTTACTTACCATTAGCTCTCAGTGCGAGTTAAAAACGACACATTTTATCCCCAGACGATTACACATAAAATGCACAAGAGAAATAAGGAATAAAGTTACACCCTTTCCATGTCAGTCGGCGGATAAATAAACTGGAATCTGTCTGTTATGATCGACTAGTTAGCCGAGTTGGCTAACGTCAGCTTAGCTTTATCTCCAGATAGTTTCAGTATGGGGGGTCTATTTTAGTTGTCGCTAATCTAATAACATTAATAATAACTGCTTCAGATATTTACTAAATCGACATTCAGATAAATGTGACTATATTCCACAGTGTGTCTTTATAATTCAGCTGCTGCGTTCAGGTTCAAGTAGCACAGTTAGCCGCTAAGGCTAGCCGCAGCTAGCTGATTGTTCCGCGCACAACTTTGCCGATGTAATTAAGGTGCAGCCACAAATTAAGGCCGCACGCCTCATCTAGAGTGCCACTGAATTTAAGTTTTGACATTTTCTTTTCCTAATACAAGCGTCCCGTGGGAGGTTCGCTCCTTAAAGGCTTTTGAAGCTGAAGAATTACACATACCTCACTTCCTTAAATTTGCCTTGGTCGCAGCCATGTTTTCAGTCCAGCCAACTAGTCTGGGGTGTGTGAGCCGACTCAGCCGCTCCGGTTAAAAAAGCAACACTTACCCTGAAGATTTTCTGCCTCTGCAAACTGTAATTCTGGCTATCAAATTACTAAACTAAAGACAGTATATAAACACATTTCCTCTCATTTTCTATCCCCATAGCGTGACATCAAATATGCACGGTGTTCAGCATGTTTGCATCAAGTTTTAATAGTGTCAGCCAGCAAAATAAAACATCAGGGTAGATCTTAGTCAAATGCATAAACTTGGAATACAGCATTTAGGTGATCTATCAGGCAGCACTTGAAGCTACACCATGCCCATACACAAAAATAATGCCTTTAATTAGATTGTTGATTTTCATTTCATACTACAAGATGCTTCTGATAGCTGTACAATTCTGTGAAGACGGACCTCGTTATACAAGAAGAGTTGCATCTACATACAGTTTAATGTGACTGTTAAGTTAACCTGTGCTTGAGAGATAAGCATGCATTACAGTCTGCCTGCCAAATATTTTCTACAAAAAAACAAACGATTGACATCATATTGAATCACTCTTTTTAGTGATAAATAATCAAGTGCTCAATTCTGACCAACAAACTATCAGTACTGATACATTCAAATACAAACTAGACATGGCATAGTGCATGCCAAATTTGTGTCTACAGAACAGTGCAAAACACAAAAATCATTCCTGAGACTACTCGGCAAATTAGTCCCTTCATAACCTTTTGATATCGTCACATTTTCTCCTTTCCTTACCATTCTTACAAGAGGAATAATGTGTGATATATTTACAGCAAAGTATAATGTGATTCATCGATATTATTAGCAACACATGGACATACATTATGTGCTCATTTGGTCAAGACAAACAGAAAAGAAATATGGCATTCAGAGGAATTTGTAGCTGCACATACAGTAAATTTAAATGCTTGCTCCTGAAAAACAAACAAAAAAAACAAAATATCCCAACATGTGAAATATACAGTGCTAATAGAAATTTAAGAGCGCTTCATACATATTTTTACAACATGGCAAGCCTTTTAAGACATGTAAAATCCCTCCGTCGAAAGGCTGTCACATAGCAGTAAAGATGAGGTCCTTTGATTGGATGCGTCAGAAATAAAAGTGCAAAATAAAAAGCTTCTTTTTATTATTGTATCCATGAATGTTTCTTTGTCTTGTCTCAAGTGCTGTATTAAACTGAGCGCGTCTCCACCTCGATTTTCTCTTCTGACTGCGAGGATTCGACTTCTTGGTGGCTGACGCTTGGTCGGACCGTCACCAGAGGTCCCCCACCGTAAATGGAGTGGAGAAAGTTCCACGTCTCTTCAGAGATCTGCCCGGAGTCGGCTCCTGCAAGGTGAGTGCCAGAGCAATTAACATATTTCAAAGTCTTTTCAAAGTAAAAGAAACAGTTTGAACAAACCATAAAAAGACATGCCACTTTCTCTCACCGACATAAAATCAGACTTAAAGAATCTTTATTACTTACTTTATATCTAAACATTCATATATAATTTCTTAGTATTTGGTGGGATTATTTTTTAAATAGTATTATTTGGGCCAAAGTATTTGTCATGTCATGCCAAAACACTGATTTTGTTGACCTTAAAGATGCAGCATGCATGATTTTCCCCAGTATATTATAAGTCTGGCGGGCCACCAGGCTTTACTTGTGCCCCCACCAGGCTAAGCTTTGCTTATTTATTTAAGTTTTTTTTAATGTTTGCATTTTTTAAAAGACATTATAGTTAGTGTTCGGGTATTAATCTTCCAATCTTTCAATAACACATGATTATCAAGTGATATTTAAAAATTTTCAGTCAATTTTAAACATTTTTTAACTCAAAAACAAGACGGGCTGCTGGATGAATGACTGCCCTAGCACCCAACCACCAGGCGTAACAAGTTTTCTGGGTGAAACCCTGCAGTATGTAACTTTTATTAAAAAAAAATATATAAGTTTTTAACATATTTGATAAAACTGTCATCATGTTGTAACAGTTTATGAGACAGATAATCTGTGAAGAGCTACTTTTACTGTCTGAAGAAGAGGTGCATCCGTCCCGACCAAAAACAACCAATCAGAGCCAGGAGGCGGGTCTTAGCGCTGTCGATAAACCTCATGGTGGAGAAACAACTTACCATTACAGGAAAACCATTTCCCAGCCGTTGTTGGTGGCTATGCTAATTAGCCTAGCATTCATCACAAAAAGCGAAGGCGGGGTTTGGGATGAGCCGCGCTAAGACCCGCCTCCTGACTCTGATTTGATGTTTTAGTTAGAATTGGGAGAAGGCCGATGAGCTCAATTATTCCACTGATTATCTGTCTCATACCAAATTGTCACAACATAATGACAATTTTAACAAAGATATAAAAAAGTCTAATTTTCATAAAAGTTACATACTGCAGCTTTAAGCCAATTTGAAACTAATGTCGCTGTCTGCTTAGCATCCTTGTCCATTTACATGCAGAAGACTGATTTTTGCCTAAGCTTTAACTTCCTTATTAATGTTTTGGAGACGGTGTCGTCAAGCTTGCAACCTTCCCGTCTTTTCCCAATTTCAATCTTGATTTCTTTTTTTTTTTTTTACTTTGGTTTGGAGTCATTTCTTCTTCTTTGAGTGTCCTTTTAGCACCAGTCAGCATAGGATTTGTTTGAGGAGAATGAAACTCTTAGCAGCTTCAGCCAGCATCATCCTGGCTGAAGCCAGGCCCATTTTGCACTAAAACACATCCATCAGAATCCATGGCTGGACATTAGCATCCTGCTGATACTTGTATGTAATTATCTGAACAAATGAACATGACAACATGGAGTCAAACTCAAGGTCCGGGGGCCAAATCCGGCCCGCTGCAGCTTTTTATGCGGCCCTCTAGACTCCTGAGAATGTTCAAGATAACATGTGTGTTTATGCATTTTATCAATCAAATCAAAACAGTTTTTATCTAAATACATAAATGTGAAAAGAATTTCAGTAATTTTCCATTTTAAGAAGTATTTATCAAACTCTTAACACGTTAACAGTTTGATAATATAGTTCTGAGTGGTCCTTTGAGGACATTTATGATCTTGATATGACCCAAAAATGAAAATGAGTTTTAAACCCCGGACTTGTGGTTGATCTAGAGTTTTGAAGATCAAATTTCTGATATTTTGGTTGAGTTCTTGTGATTTTCCCACAATGATACCTTGTGTTTCCTGGTGTGATATCATGAGAAATACATCCACAGGTGTGACTCAAATTTAGCTCAGATGTTGCCTAGAGGCACTTCAAACCTCTGACTTTGAAAAAGACATTAAAAAAATAAGCAGAAAAAGAAAATCACAACTCATCTAGAAAAGGTTAACCTGATTTTATGTCGTTTTTTTATGCGGTGTACATCTTGTTCATACCTTGTTTGAGGATAAAATGTCCGTTCTTGTTAACGGATATTTTGGAATTATCAATCGGTCCTGGAGGATCTTAAAAACGACAGATGAGAAGGAGAAACAAGTGTTTAATATCCACAGCAGTAACTCGCACACATGATGTGTCTTTAAAGACATATTTTAATTGTAGCTGACACAAAGAGCAAACGTGTTAAAATGCCAAACGTTTCTGTCGTTCTAAGAAAAGTGAAGCCGACTTCCCGTTAGTTACTGAGAGAACGCAAATATCAGAGGAGCAGAAGTCAGAGAAAACAGAAATAAATAAAAAAGAGGCTTTCCCAAACGCTCCAAATGCAAGTCATTATGAATAGAAATGACAATACAAAGTGAGGGAAGCCTAGAAAATGAAATGTATTCTGACACTTCATTTTGCTGCAGCATGACAGAATCCTGACTCAGGGGACTCAGGAAGTTCTCTGATGAAACATCAGGAGGGATTTTTTTTTCTGCTAAATTAATTACATCCACAAACAAGAAATATTCTATTCACAATTTATCCACACCAGTTCCTTACTTCAGGATGAAATATTTCCCACATTTTAATCATCAGCACACATCAGTTTTTATTCAATCTTCATATGACCTTTTAAGTAGACATTTAAACGGGACAGGGGGGAGGAAAGGAAAGACTTCAGTCCATTTACCATTGTCTTTTCCTTTGACAAAGCCCTCCCACTCACGAAACCACTGCATGCTGATGCAGTATATGACCACCGGAGACTCCTCCTCCTGGAACGCCTTGTTGAGCTACAGGGAGGGGGGAGCGGCAGAGAGGAAGTGGGGGAGGAGCGAGTGATGGAGACAAGAGGGAGGAAAGGGAACGTAAGATGGGTGGGGGTAAAACATATTTGAGGATGAAAGGATTTAGAAGAGAACAGATGAAAAACCTAATTAATTCTCTCTGGTAGTTCCTCCAATTAGAAGACAGTCCTGACACCACACTGCACCAGTTTTAATGTTTCACAGAAAAAGACTCGCGGTTATTTCAGTCTTCCTGTTTTTTCCTCCAATTCACACGTATAATGCATTTATTTCTCCTTGGAGCAGCGCCTGAGTGAGCGAGGCACTAACAGCTGCATCTGTCTCCATCCATTAATGATAAGGCTTTTATCGGACTCACTCCTTCTCATCTCATCAACTGGTTACAAAAAGACTGGAGGAAGGGCCTGAATGCACCCATTAGTCCTGGCTGCTCGGAGGCACACAATGCATTATCATTCACACCCAAAACAGCTTCTGCTTCGTCTTCGCTGCTTAGCCAGGCGCTATCAGATGATTTCAAACAAACGGAGCGAAGGGCTCACCCGGACAAACAGGTCCAGCTCCGATTTGCGCCGCTTTTCCAGTTTTTCTATCTCGATCTGGCACGTGTGGCAAACGTACAGGTGGTTGACAGCAGGGCCCCCTCCGTACCTGCAGGCAAACACACGGGTTCGGTAAACACACACAGTATTCTCTGACGAGTTTTACTGCAAATATCTGAGGAAACCTGCAATAAAGTCATTTAAAAGTAGCTTATCAGCACAATATAGAAGCTTGTTTTAAGTAAATATTGTTGGAAAAAGTACTAATTCCATTGGCAGATTATTTGACTTATAACAAGACATTTGTCCCATGTGATGGGTGAAAATATCTGCAAATGAATCTAGTACTTCTCACCAATATTAAAGAATTATTCACTTAAGCCTTCTAGACCAAACGTGTCGGCGACGATCCAGCCAAATTTGCAGTACCGTATTTCCACCACACGTTGCGCTATCTGAAAACTTCCAACGGTTTCTGACAGGGGAGACGTTGCCCTTTCCATCCAACACCAGGTTATTACGGTAATTTCACCCCGCCGTAGCAGGGAGTGAAATTAATCTGAGGGGCGCTCTTAATAGTCGGTAAATTGAGAAAATAACCGCTAGATACTGAAAGTTACAGTTGTTATGGACAAATGGGCAAATATATTTACTCAAAGGACATTAAAAGAACTGTTTACAATTAATAAAAGCAAAAATATCCAGGCGGAGATTTGAAACTTAGGCCTTAAAGGGTTAAGACAAACTCCTACACCTTGCTGAAAAGATGCTTGTAAGTTAGTTTTGTCTTATTTCAAGGGTAATAAAATAACTGGGCTAGAAACTAGGCTAAAAATACTTGGTAAGATTTGGTGTTTTTGCAGTGCACTCCAAAAGGCAAACACAACCGCAGCCAGACGGGACCTTTACAGGGCGTACCTGCTGTAAAGGTGGTCCCACACGTTCTGGGGCAGCATCATCACCAGGTCGTCGATGTACGACGCTTTGCTGGGTGGCACGCCTGATAAAACAAAAACAAAACAAACAGACTCAAAAACTGCTTCTTCCCAAAGACAATAAACACCCTGAACTCTCACAGGCACTGATTACATGGTGGTTATATGTGTAAGTGTGCATTTATGGCTGTGTGTGTATGTGTGTCCATATTCAGCTCTGGAAAAAACTAAGAGCAAACTGCACTAAACCCCGTTGAGAACCTCCTGGTTATTCCACCAAATATTGATTTCCTGAACTCGATGCAGAATTACACAACAGTACATCTTTGAAAAGCAAAAGTGGAGCCTGCAGCACAATGAACAAGAATGCAGCAAGTGGCTTCTGGATGGTAAGTCAGCAACAAAACACTCGTCTTTTCCAGCAGCCATTGTACAGCGCACGCATTGATAAAACAAGTTGACCCAACATACTGGATCTCAGATGGGGTTGCCGGGTAATGGGCTGGACTTCGCTAGGGTTGCTAGGTAACGAAAGTTTTGAAATGATTCATTGGAGTGTGCTTCATAACATAATTTTGCAGGTGAAATACTTGCAATATATTAATTTTCAATTAATAAAACTCAATAATCCTTTACGAGGAAGAAATCAATCTTGCTAAAAATTTATTTATAGTTCATAGGAGCCTCTAAAACCTGACATTTACTGTTTTCTGTGGCTCAGAATAAGAGTCCCACAGAATGACAAAACTTAAGAATATCTTTACATCTAATGTTTCACAATGTTTTACTCTTTGAACCTTCTTTAATGAAATCTAAATCATGAATACACAATATAGCACAAATATGTCACCATCATAATGTCAATGTGTGCAATATTCACACTGCAAATGACTCTTTGGAAAGCAGTAATTGTTGGCCAATATGTTCCAAGTATTATGAACCTGTTTTGTAATATTTAGTCAGTTTGACAGAGTCTCACAGCAGCAGATGAGCTACTGCCCACTCACTGCTGGCAGAAAAAAAAAGCAATGTCAGTTTTTCTAATATTATGCAGCCCTAGTCCAAATTTAAACAGCTGGAGCAACTTGCCAATCTCATAAAAACAACAAAAAAGCCATTTAAAAAATACAATGAAGGTTCAACTTTTGCACAAAAAAAAAAAAATTATAGCAAAAGTTCAACCTTCATTATTAAATATATATGAAATTATCTATAACTTTAGAATTAAAAATGAGGACAACAAGTGTATATTTTAACTTTTCACGCTTAAAACTGATTAAAATATAAAATATTTCCGTCTTTGTTGCTTTATGCAAATGCAGTTAAAACTTGTTTAACATCGGAAAACAAGGTTGACACTACAGGGCTGCAGATATTCTGCAGAAAAGCTTCACAGCAGTAGATTTAACTGTGACAAGTCAAGACAATGAACAGTGTGATTAAGAGGCACTTGAAAGCTACACAGGGCTCTAATTATCAGTGGTGGAGAAAGTACTCAAAAAGTTTACTTAAGTAAAAGTACAAATACACAGACAAAAATGTACTCAAGAAAAAGAAAAACTACCACATTAACATTTGTACTTAAGTAAAAGTAAAAAAATACTGGCTTTTAAAAATACTGAAGTATTAAAAGTAAAAGTACTTACTGAATCGCTAATAATATCATTAAGTGAACCGATCGTATTTAATTTTAATACATTAGAAATGTGCCATTTTAATGAACAATGCCACAGATAAAGCATGTTTTTATTACATTCTGCAACGTCTTCCCTCGTGACAACAAGCTCTTGTGAAAACCTGTTTTGTTTAGCGCTGGCTCGTATTTGTTCCCAGTACTCGCGCGATCCCAACAAGTGAGTTTAAACATCGATAGAGAGTGAATATTCGCGCACATAAGAACATATTTATTTAGCTTCCAGCATTTGCAGATTCATTTATTTCAATGTGGCGTCATCTTTCTCTGTATTACGTTGTAATACGTTTGTAAAAGTACTCAGCAGAATAAAGTTTATTTATAGTGGCCTTGTCTGCCAAAGAAAGAGAACCAGGACCAGAGCAATCCATTTCTTTTGTGTGAAACCTTTTATAGAGCCTAGATGTTTGTAAAAATTAAATGTAAAAAAAAAAAAATAATAATTTATTGAGGCATAATGCAATTTCTATTTGTTGATTTCTGTGAATGAGTCGTTGGCCTGAATGTTCTGAGATTAAGAATGAATCTATTTAATCCTCTGGCCGTTGTGCCAGGTCTGTTTTAGCAAGAAGCACAAGGCTGTGAGAATGTACTCTCCTCTGGAGACTGGGAAGAAAGTTATGCATCTGACTGAACCCAAATGCATTTACCGTTGTATAGTGGATTAAGTTTAATACATATTACTGTTATTCTCAGTGTTGCAGGGGCCAAGTGGAATATCTCGTATGACGGTTGCTTTTTCTGTCTTTGCACAATCTTCACCTTTCTTTCTTCCATTGTAAATGGATGTGTATTATATAAGATATATGTTAACAGCATATTTATGGTAATTAGGGACCATATGTGAACAGCACAATTGCATATAATACTGTTATGTGTGTACTGGACGTTATCAATGACTGTGACTAGTCTGAATTTTAATGAAGCCAACAGTAAGGGAACTGTTCCCTTAGGGTTTTCAGAAGGCACTTTAACACAAATCATACTGTTATGGAAAAATATATTGAATAAAGTCTATTAAACGGGGAACAAATAGTTTATTTTCTATCTTTTCATTCACATCTAAATAAAATTACACTAAATGTTTTTGCTTTTTTGGTCTTCAGAAGGGCAAGCTGGTAAGACTGTTATTGGGTTATTTTGAGTTTTATCGCAATATTTCTTGGTTCTACTGCGTTAACCACAAAAATTATAATAAAAAACTTTTTTAGGTAGCTTTATGGCTGAGACTTCATGACAGAGCCTTATAGAGCCACAAACAGAAATATCACTAATGATAATTAATTTGAAAATTATTTTAATTAGCTTGACTTTTTAGTTAACTATTTGCCGTGCAAACATTTAGTTAAATTTATTTGTCAGTTCTTTATACATATGAAGAACTGGAAAGCAACAAATTGATTTATTTGTTTGAGTGACCAGTTTCCTTTGGAGCTGCTGGAGGGTCACAGAAGAGCTCCAGCTAATTGACATCCATATACGGCTGGCAAACCTCCTCAGCGGGCCGTTCCAACTGTTTGCCAGGGGACGAGGAAATTTGGTTTTCTTCAATTTTATTTGACTATTTCTTTAATGTTTCTTCTATGTGGTAGTTTAATTCTAATGTTTGTTTAATTTAAAGAGTTGGTATTATATTGACTAGTATTTGTTTAAGTTTTTGTATGTTTAATTACCCCTTGTGTGTCAGCAGTGGTCTGATCTATTTAAGTTCCCCTCATGTCTTGTTAGGTCAGTTTTGTGCTCGAGTTCTTTGTGTTACCACCTGAGTTGTAGTTTGTTATGTTGACCTCAGTTTTTGGGCCCAATTCCTTATTGTTTAATTATTTTTTGAACTTTTTTGTAATAAATTAAGACTATTTTTCAATTCCATTCAGCGTCTCTCTGGCTGGTTTATGTAAGAACCCTCACACTGCATAATACGTCACTGACTCAAATTCAATTAAAAAGAATCATTCCTTGATTAGACAAAGAAAATAATAAAAGCTAATAATTACTTAATTGTGATATTTGTGTATACAAAATTCCTAAATCCTACAGCTAAAGTTGTTATCTACAGTTGTAACTGTGTTTTTAGGTTTTACTGGAGCTGGCTTTGATGTTGCCTAGCAACATAGCACACATCAAATTATTCCAATGATGGAATCTGATGATGTCAAAGTGTTATGATGTCACAAAAGACGTAACACTTGAATGTACTGCATCTGAATTAAAGTCACAGAACTCTACAAGGAGGCACACGAAGTGCGCTTTTTCCGTCTTGGATTTAATACTGCTTTTGTTTCGCAGATTTTTCGATACAACGCTCGGACCATCAAAATGTTGTCAACTGAGAGTGATTTGTTAACACAGTCACAAATTAAACAAATGACTAGAGATGAGCTGGTTCTCTTGGTTCTGGACTGGCTAAACAGGTTTAGAGAAAGAGCTGGAATATTAATCAAGGAGAGCACAAGACAGCAGGATTTGGAAAATGCTCATAAGCAAATCGGGCTTTTACAGGAGAAAATCGATTCAATCACCAAAGACCTAAATTGGTCTCTCAAACAGAACAAATACCTGGAAACTGAGCAAATCCCAAAGTTAAAACAAGAGATAGAGCAACGCGGCTCACAGAGGAATCAGTTGTTGTCAGACATAAAGCAATATAAAAACAAAGTGAAAGAGCTTCAAACCACTTTAAAAAAAGTCATCAGAGACTCAAAACAGCAGATTGACAAGTTGCTGGCAGAAAAAAAGCATGTGATGTCTCTAATCCCAGCATGCAATATGAAGATTGAAAAGTATCAAAATGAAGTGAAAAAACTTGAGATTGAGGTGTCCCGGATAAATAACAAAATCGGCATGAAGAACACTGACATTTTCAATGAAAAAGAGAAGTCCAGACTTCTTGAGAGCAAGATAAGATCTCTGGAAATGAAGCTGAAAGAGGGAGAGAAGGAAAGAAAAGCCATTGAGAAGAAACTTAAAAAAACTCCAATGGAGGAAGCCATAGAAAGAACTAAGCTAGAGTTTAAAGCAAGGATCGATCTAACTTCCGGCGTTTTAGCTGAGGAGAAAGAGCGAAACAAGGAATTAGTAAACCGTCTGTTGAAAAAAGATCGGCAGGTGAGCAAGCTCCTGGAGATACAGGCTAAACAGGAGAGAGAGGCAGTGGTTGTGAAAAAAGGTTTTGACAATGCAGTGTCTGATTTTATAATTAGAGACCTGAGGAAAGAAAATCAATCCTTAAAAGGTCAAATAAAGGTACTAACCAAAAGCAGGGAGACGGATCAACAACACATCAAAGAAGTCACCAACCAAAGATCGAAATTGAGAGAACTGTACCTCAGTGAGAGGATGAAACACGAGAATTTCAAGGAATCCATGAAGAACAAAGTGGCTAAGGTAAGAGATTATATTGTTTTGGAAGGGCCTAAAGTTCAAAGCAAATCTGAGACACAAACCACCAATAAAACACTCGAACTTCTACCATCCACCACTGACAAAATAACCATGCAGACACCCAAAACACAGTCAATTAGCGATCGAAGAATTTTGATTCTTGGTGAAGGCAAGATACAGCCAGACTTTAAAGATGACTTCACAACAACCGGACACTTAAAGTATAAGCCAGAACCAAAAACGAAGCCTAAAATGCCACCTTTTAAACCAGCAGGCAGGCAGTATTTCTCACAGAAACCGAGCGGGAAAACAGGCAACGGGCAACCTGGCAGGAAAGCCACCACAGATGGGAACAGTAAAGTTCCCGAATTATCGATTAAAGGCAACCGTATACTATGAGGTGTGAGTATAACATCCAAGAGGCATATACACCTGGTGGCCGGGCTTTAACCCTTGGAGCCCAGCTGGGCTTTTAATTCAGCATGTCACGAAAATTTAACATCTTACATTCATGGAAAGACAATCTGCCCTCTCCATACAAGAGAAAACTCCGGTTTGACCACCTACCAAGTCAATTATTACGATCAACCAAATTTAGATTCACTCATTAATTAATACTGTACTGAACACTGTTTCTTTCTTTAACACACTGTAAATGGGAAGGAACATTTTTCTCCGGGTGCACCGGTTTTTCAGACTATTCAAGAAAAGCAGTGTAGTATGAGGAGCCAATTAGGACAAAAACTACGTTTTGTCTCTCACACACTACTAAAGACTTGTACACACACACACACACGCACGCACACACACACACACACAAAATACTAAAATTGCACATATACACTGTTAACATATCACACGCATACAATTTTCTCTGACATACATAAGAGACTAAGATTGCACATATAAACTAATAAAATATTGCATGCACACACACACACACACAAAGCATACAGACGTACTATTCTGAATGATAGGTCGAAAATGTGTGCGTGTGTGTGTGAACTAACACTAGGCTGAATGAATGAATGAATGAATGAGACTTGAATTTCTCTGTGCGATGAACTCATTTTTTGTATGTGTGAGATCTCCCAATTATGAGGGGCATAATTTGGGTCTGATCTCCAAATTATGCCCCTCCTCTTCCGTGACGCTCTCACACATACAAAAAGGAGCCTCTCACACAGAAAAATCCAAGTCTCATCCCCATTAATTCTTTAATTCATTCAGCCTAGTGTTAGTTTACACACATTTTCGACCTATCATTCAGAATAGTATGTCTGTATGCTCTGTGTGTGTGTGTGTGATATTTTAGTAGTGCATATGTACAATTTTAGACCTCTGTGTGTGCGAGAGAGAAAAAAAATGCATGTGCGTGCAATATTTTATTAGTTTATATGTGCAATCTTAGTCTTTTGTGTAGGCGTGTGACAAAAAAAATTGTATGCATGTGTGATATTTTAATAGTGTATATGCGCAATTTTAGAATTTTGCGTGTGTGTGAAAGAAAAATTGTATGCGCATGATATTTTAATAGTGTACGCTAAATTTTAGTATTTTGTGTGTGAGAGAGAGAAAAATTGTATGCGCATGTGATATTTTGGTATTTTGTGTGTGTGTATGCTTGTGTGACATTTTAGTAGTATAAAATGTGCAATTTTAGTATTTTGTGTGTATGAGATTCTAGTAGTCATAATAATCAGGATAAGTCATTAGCTTTCAGGGTAGCGAATGTTTGAATCCTCATCTTTTATCTAAGATGATTAAAATTCAAGTGAACATTTTCAAATAAAAAAGCAAGAGGACAACCAACCATATGAAGGTATTATTATAGAAAACCACTTCCTGAGGACATATGCTGCCACAGCTTGCCTGAAAATACATTTCTGAAGGTGAGAAACTGTTATGCTCTGTCGGAAACACTAGAGCCGGCTGCTTTGCCCAGAGACGATCTTAGTTTTACTGCTCTGATATTATCTCTGTAAGACATGATGTAGCAACCTGCAGGTATTTCTGTTTTTGCATGCGCTTTATTGTAGGGTTTCTGCAGGTTTCACCAACTTCAGACTTTTTGAGACCATCATGAATGAAATTTAAGACCTGCATCAAAGCAGAAATCTACAAAACAAAATTGCATATTTTATATTAGCTCTGTGTATTTTTTTTTTTTTGTGAGAATTGAAAACTACAGAGCAAACAGCAAATATAAACGGCGACCAGCTAACTGGCGATAAATTTGCACTTACCCATAATAACAGGAAAAAAAACTACATAGCAAGCTGGCAAGGGTATATTAGCTACTTGCTACTGGTGCCCTCAATTATTGATATATATTGATGACCTCAACTGACTCAATGACGATATCTGCGCCCGACTCTAAAGTTTTGGGTGACAGAAAAGGAAAAAGAAAAAAAAACTACATAGATTCCTGCTCTGACAAAATTTAAGATCCGTGATTAACTTTCTTAAGACCAACTTCACTTCAAAAACTCATAATCTTACCAAGCATTTTTAGTCTAGTTTTTGGTGAAAATGTTTTATCTTATATTTGAAATAAGAAAACTAACTTACAAGTAACTTTTCATCAAGACAGAGGAGCTTGTTTGAAGTCAGTAATTCCTTAAAATTGACGCTCCATTGGCAGATATTTTCACTTACAACAAAACATTTTTCCCAAGCAATAAGTGAAATAACGGAGCAAGTAGTTTTTCATCAACATTTAAGAGTTATTGACTTAAATATTGCTTCTATGTAATGCTGAAAATTTACTTTTAAGTCAATTTTGTCTCATTTCAAGTCTACTAAGATATTTGCACTAGAACCCAGCCCATAAATACTTGGCAGGATTTTGTGTTTTTGCAGTGATTTTGTTTTATGAATCTAAGATATTTTTAAGGCCTTAATTTTAGATACATAAATTTAAGCATTTTTAAGGATGAGAGGACATCCTGTATAGATTAATTTCTTTATAACCTTAATGTTCTTGATAAAACTAGGAAACGATGGGCACAAACAGACGCTTTTCAAGTTGGCAGTGAAATTGTCAGATCTGAGTTTTTCAGTGAGGGAATGACTTGCGCACCTCCATGAACACAAAGGAAGTCATCATTGGAAATGGGGCCCGGCTCTGCAAAGGTCCTGAATTTGTTGAGCCACTGCCTGGAGATGTAGAACTGCAGCAGGCTGGGCTCCATCATGCTCAACAACCCCGTCACCCTCCTACGTTCTTTCAGCGCGTCCTCGCTGCTCTTTCTGCGGCAGAAACACGTTAATCAGATGTGAGCGAGGAGTCAAAGCAGCACTGATTAAAATCAGAAAAGAAGAAAAAGTTGAACTCTGGTGTCTTACTTATAAAACAGAACATAAGCCTCTGCATTCTGGACGCACGAGTCGGGCACCTCGGTCACACTTTGGTCGTCAAATTCATACCACAGATTATTCACGCTGTTCCTGCAGTACGCTATGTAGTGGCCACCTAAAACGAGACAGCGTTCACAAACCATAGCAAGTCGGCGAGAGTTTTTTTCTGCGTGCCAGTAGATGGCAGAGCTTCTGTGCCCACTCACTGCTGGCAGTGCCGTGGTGGCAGATGACGGACAGCAGGTCGTAGTTGGTGGTCTGGGCCGAGCTGTCTTTGGCCAGGAACGGCTGCAGGTCCAAGCCTTCGAGCGGGAATGAGACGTGTGTGCCTATCTTGGTGGAGTACATCAGCTCGTGTCTAAAGCGCTTCAGGTGAATACACAGGATCTGGAGCGCATGGAGTTCAGTTTGATTATTTCACAAAAAGAAACATTCCTTACAATATGGATAAGGACGGAGGTTAAAGGGTCAGTATTATGTGTTTTCCAGCCACATAGGATCATTTTATAGTAAAATCAAGTGTCTGTTACCTTCACTTGTTATAAAAATGCTTAAATGAAATTTTACTTCCTAATTTAACTCCTTGAAATTTAACAGAGAGCTCCAGAGAGGTCTCTGTCTCTTTAAAAACTCCTGCTCTTTCTGAAACTCCACCTTCAGGAAGTCATCACCACATTGCCCTTAACGTTTTCACCAGTGTTTGCTAATTGCTGCTGGCTAGTCTGAAGGAGCCGAGTGCTCTGTGAGAACTCAGAACTGCAGCTCAGAGGAGGAGCTGCGTCTCGAAGGCGGAGCTAGATCCACCTAGGCGTTTTTGCACAGCTGAATGGTTGCCATGGAGATTAAAGGATTTCCCAAAAATGCACGAAAGGATCAAAGCGACACTTCATAACATTATGACATGATGTGAACTTCGAAATAAAGTCAATTTTACATAATATTGCCCCTTTAAATGGATTTTCTGTACCTCTGGTAAATTCTGCATTTTACAGAATTTCACTCCGTTTCTTAACCTAGGAAACAAAGATTAGCAGAGATTATTATAGGTGCAGTTTTGTTTTGCAGGAAAATAGTTCAGTTTAGGAAGAGCTACTTCATTCACTCACTTTTTGCATTTTTCACAGCTGTACATGTTGTCTCCTGCAAGCAAAGAACAAGCTGTTCTTAAAACAGGAATCATTTGCACATGAAAAGCCAGATTTTTCTCCAATTTACTCACCTTTTAGTTCGTCTCTGGCAAAGAAAGCAGCAAGGCAGTCTTGTAGTGTAACCACTGGACCCCAGAACCAGCTGGAAAAGAAACAAAAACGTTCATTTGGCACAAGCTTGCAGGACACAACAACTGCCGGCAAAGTCAGCGCAGCCGTTTTACACAAACCTTCTGATATACTCCATGACAAATGCTATCCAGCCCTGAGCTGCGTAAGCTTCCCCGCAGGAGCCGGCTTTCACCAGGGAGGTCTGGTGGGACGCCGAGTGGAGCTTGGCCAGGTCCTCCTTCCCCGGGATGGGCAACGAGATATCCTGGAAGTTCTCCAGGGTCACAGATACCTGCAGCCATGGACCACACACTGAACATTCAGCCATGGGCACATCATGGCAGCAAACACTGCAAAAATATTTAACTGAGTTGTAGAAAACTGTGCTTTAGGGCTGAAATGATTAATTGGATTAATTTATTTATTTAGTAATCTGTTAACTGTTAACTAGAATTTGAAAAATAGGTCAATCGGCAGTATGTCTCACTTCCCATCAGCAATTGACAGGAAGTCATATATGAGCACAAATATTGCAAAATTGCAAATATTTTTAAGTGAGCACCAAAAAAAAAAAAAAAAATCTGTGATTTTGACTGAAATAAAATCCCGAAAACAATCGCGAAATCCAGGAGGGACTTATGAGGGTTAAAAGACTTTCAATATTTAATTTTAACAGGTATTTATTGATATTTTATCAGTTAGTGAATGGGTTTTATCAATAGATTCTGGAACAACCGGCCCTTTTACACGGCTGTGTTAGAGGATAAGCAATTAGAGAACAGCCACACTGACCCGATCACAGGTGAGGCACTGAACTGAACTGACAATGGTCCCATCGAAGACGTCTGAGATGACGCTGCGGTATCTCCTCTGTCGCTTGTTCTTCGGCGGGGAGAACGTGGCGACCGCTGCGAGAAGCAGAAATGTGAAAACACCGGGTTTGCCAAGGATATTCCTGCCATCCTGTCCCACTCACATCTCCTCTTCTTAACTCTCAGCGTGATTCGGCTCTAATCATGACTGTGAGCTGAGCTGCGGGCAACAGAAGCGCCGTACCTTTCTTGTGTGCAGGGTTTAAGCTCAGCCAACCGGAGGTAGCTTTGAGAGGACTGCTGGATATTTTGGGAATATGTCCTTCTATAGTGACTGGACTTTGTGGTCGTGTGATGTTGGACATTTGGATATCCGAAAAGCAATCTGAAGGAAAAGAAATGGTGTTAAGAATTCTACATTTACAGTGAGTTGCAGAGGTATTTTAACTACGGGTGGACCGATAAATTTTTCATGATTTACTTTACTTAATGTAAAATTGCATGTCAATTGGGCATAATAATTTGTTAGAATTTTAATTTTTTCTTGTTTTTACTTTTGTCTGTTTGAAATAAATAACAAATAAAACAATCAGCAATTGGCCGACACTTGAATGTGAAGTAGGGCTTCACCGATTGCAGTTTTCTGGCTGATCGCCGATTACGATCTTTAAAAAGCCTGATCTACCCATTCTGATTTTGGCTGATATACATTTTTTTGTCAGAAATGTTGCTAAATATAGCAGGAAAGTCGCTGAGTTGGCAACAGAGGGGTGACTATTGTTGACTCAGCCAAAATCTGAATCCTCAAGGTATTTAAAGATCTGTAATCAACTATCATACAAAAACGACAATCTTTGCACAACATTTATGTTACAACCACTGAGATTTTATCAATCAATAAATCACATTTTATTAGTATAACATATTTGAACAGGAAGGCAGTTCAAAGTGATTTTCACAAAATGAATAACTGGAACATTACATTTTTCCAAGTGCCATCATTTACACATCAAAATGTTGGTCAGTGTTTCAGTTATTACAGGTGGGCTTCTAGTCTAGATTCAAAGAAACTCAGTGTTTCGGCTGTTTTGCAGTTTTCTGGAAGTTTGTCCCAGATTGGTGGTGCATAAAAACTAACTGCTGCTTCTCCATGTTTGGTTCTGGTTCTGTGGATGCAGAGCAGAATCAGAACCAGAAGACCTGAGAGGTCTGGAAGGTTGCTATGACAACAGCAGGTGTGATAGCACCAACATTAGGTATTGCATAATTGTGAAGAATGTCAAAAAAAAAAGTTTCCATAAATAAAAGTCTAAAAAGGTGGTATGCATTTGCATTCAGTTTTCCATAAACAAAGTCTAGAGCAGCTGATTATCTTCAGAAGCCACCTGTGCAGAGAGTGTAGGGTGATATGGAAAGCAGAGGCAAACACTGTAATACAACATATTACCTGATGTTCTGCCCTGAACCTTGAGGGCTCCTTGGCTGCTGATAATGGGCATGGTGTCTGTGGTGGTGTCAACGTCTTTGTCGATGTCTCCGTTGTTTCCCCCCATAACGCCGTTAACCCCGGAGCGATACAGATCATTAATCATGTTCTTCTCCTTCTGCCACTCCCTGTTGGCCTGGATCTCATCCTGCTCAGGAATCAGCATCTCTGCCTCGTTGGTGTTGTCCATGACGACGCTGCCGCCCTGCACCTCATTGTCGGCCCGCACGCTGCTGCCGCAGGACTCGCAGGACTGGAAGTCGTTGTCCGACTGGCTGTGGTTGTCCTCCTCGGGGCTGTCGTCCATGGCGATGCTGGTGGAAAGGTCGGAGGGCTCCGGCACAGACTCTTTCAGCTCCTCGTGAAGTTGATCCATCAAGCAGCGCAGAAATTCCTGGGAATCCTAATGGTTCAGCAGAGATCGAAACAAAAAGACGGTCAACTTTGTAATACATTTAACTGATGCCTGACTCCGACCAAAAGAAATAAACAGAGCTTCTTTAAGCATCAACTCAAATTTAAGACTTTTTAAGACCAACGCAAATGAAATTTAAGACCTATGTTCATTGCATTTATTTCTCAAAAGTCACTCTTAGATAATGAGATTTTAGTCTGGCTCTTCGGCCTACTTTGAGCTGTTTTAGGGTGTCTTGTCATGTTAAATCCAAATAAGCTGCTGCTGTCCATGTTCCTCTAAACTCAATGCTTACACTCCGTATGAAAATGGTTGCAAACAGACGCACAATTACACAACCATACATCTTTGAAAAGCAGAAGTGGAGCCTCCTGCACAACCAACAAGAACGCAGCAAGTTGTTTCTAGATGATAAGTTAACAAAAAAAAAAAAACAACTTATCTTTTCCAGCAGCCATTGTATGGTGCATACAGCACCAAATGTGCTCACTTGGATTGCTAGGTGAAGGGCAGTGGCTGCTGATTTGTGACATTATATTAGGAAACATCTGATTTTTCAGACACTAAATAACTAATTTATTGCCAAAATATGGCTGATCGGTTCTTTCATTGGCTGTTTTTAGAAGCAGTAGAGGCCCAAGAGGAAGTAGAAAAACATGCAAAATGTGAATTTTGCATGTTTTACAATACGTCTCCTTTCAAGTCCACTAAACCTTCCACTTCAGAGTTTGTGTCCCACTAAATGCTACTTTGGGATCAGTACCAGTAGCAGCAGTGGCGACGGTGAAAACTGTAACATTTCTGGGGTTTGTTTGTGGCTCTTGAGAGCAGCTTTGTTCTTCCACATGTCATCATACAGGTTGGCAAAAGGAGTGATCCAGTGGCGAAAACAAACAATGTCTGTTTGTTTTCGCCAATTTTGTCAATTTAACATATGACAGGTGTAAAAAAAAAAAAAGTCTAAAATAAAACCCAGCTAGCTAGAATGTGGTATATAAGCAGATAGTTACCAGTAATCTCAAGTGGCTCGAGTCATAAAACTCAGACTTTTGTGTGACAGAAAAAAAAACAACATAGAAAACACTAAACAGCCCTGACATGACAACATTTAAGACCTGTGATTAACGTATTTAAGGTGAACATGCATATCTTGATGAATTTAAGACCTTAATTTTAGGTACATGAATTGTTAAGAACACAGACACTCTGCTAAAACTCACCAAAGCATTACTTCATAGCCGACAGAGTGAAGCTTTCCCAGAGACACTCTTCTGAAATTACACACTAAAGCCACTTTTCCTCCTTGTTCATGCCAATTCTGGATCACAAAATCCGAAACCAAACACCGCTGAACGTGTAATCAAACTTAACGAACCTCAGAAATCCAATCGCCTCCTTCAAGCTAAATTAACTTCCCTCTCCCAGGAGCTGGAATGTTATCTTTATTCATAGCAATGCTAAATTTAAGGCCCTGCAGCTCAGCGTGGCGTGACAAATGAATATTCCTCACCCAACTCTTCCAAACAAACTCTGGCAAGCCAGGAGGAAAAGAGCTGTGAAATCCTTGCACACACTGGCTGAAGACAAGACGAGCTTTGGTTTAATATTTTTTATTATTCTTTGCGTGTCCAAGACACAACTTTACATTTAAAAATAGCATCAGCACAAATCATGCAATTGTCTGTTGAGGTGTGGATTTGGGTGCAGAGGAATGATAAATCTGAGTTATTAACTTGGAAGTAGACAATTCCTGCTGAGGGTGATGTGCAGTTTTATTTTATTTTATTTTTTTAACCGTTTACTAATTTGGTTACTTCTGAAGATTTTATTTTGGGGCATCAAAGTGAAGCAGTACTAAAGTACGATAGAGTATTAGGGCCAAGCTCTGAGATTTTCTTTTTAATTCAGAGAATAAAGTCGAAATAATAGACAATAAAGTCATGATATTAGGAGAATAAAGTAGTAATTTTATGAGAACTCAAAAGAATAACACAAAATTTTAGTTTGACAAAAAAGGTAAGAATCAAATTATTAAATTAGTATTTTATTTTTTTAGTATTATTAATGAACCTCACAGACTTGCCGAGCTGATTTTGTCTGATCTTGGTAACTCTAGCAAAGTTTAACACGACTTTCTTCCTGTTTTATTGTGTTTTTATTCTGCTACTATTATGACTATATTCTCATAATTTATAAAAAAAACATCTTGGTTTGGCTCTAATACTTCATCATATGGGAGTAAAGTGTTTTATAAACGGTTCACATTTTTATTTTTCCTGTTTATTTTAAAACTTATATATAATCTGCCTTCAATTTCACAACTATCTGCTACTTTCTAAAGCTTTATTACCCAAAATATTAATTGATATTTGTGGTAAAACTTGGAGAAGTTTTGCATGAGACTGTATGTTGCACACCGGTTTCATCATGAAGCACGTCCTACCTGCTGAGAATACCCTCTAAACATCGGGTTTATGGCTTTGATCCCCTGGAACAAGTTGGTGGGAACGACGTAGGAGGGTCTGCAATGAGAGGGGAAAACAGTCAGCTTTTAAAGAAAAGCAGAGATATGCGCAAATAATTTATATTCCAGCTTCTGCAAAACGTTTTCTCTGAAAGCATCTATCACAAAGTGGTGAGGTTGTGTTAAAAATTACATCTGGACTTTCAGTGTAGCTTGCAAAAAAACATAATTAGAGATTAGTAAAAGGGGGAGAAACAGACGATAATGTCCAACCTGTTCTTGTGCCACAGGTCTGACACCAGCTTCTGGTAGCTTTTGCAGAGAGCAGGCTTCTTGTCCGTTTTTACCAAACCACCACATTCAAGAAAAAACTGTGTCAAAGGGGGGCTGCCATGAAAAGAAAGAATAAATATATAATTTATAAGATGCAATCAAAAATATTTTTGTTTGAAGGGAGCTCTGCAGTGGTTTAGTTCCCTCCAATTGTTCCATACTTGCTCTATTCTGTATTTTTTACATGGATATAAATAAAACCTTATTTCACTTGCAAAGTGTTATCAAAAATTCCCATAGCCGCTATCCCATGCGGGGAAGACGTTTCATGTAAGTGAGAGCGAAAGAACATCAAAGCTAACAAAAGAAAACGGCAAAGGGATTTTGTTCAGCAGATGCAGAATGAACAGGAAAATGCCCCTGCGACTCAGACTCTCACATTGTTAAAACATAACTGTAACCCTCTTCTTTAGGTCAAAATTTTAACATACAGCTCTGGAAAAACTTTAAATGGTCAGTTTCTCTGATTTTACTCCTTGTAGGTCTAGGTACATAGTTCTTTTCTTCTATGAACTACTGACAACATGTCTCCGAAATTCAAAGCAAAAATTTAGTGTTTATTTGCAGAAAATGAGAAGTGGTCAAAATAATAAAAAAAAGATGCAGTGCTTTCAAAGAAAACAAGTTCATATTCATTTAGAAACAACAGCACTAATGCTTTAACTCAGGAAGAGTTCAGAAATCAATATTTGGTGGAGAAACCAGGAGGTTTTCAATGGGGTTCACTGCAGTGAGCTCTTCATTTTATTTTTTTTCCAGAGCTGTAATTACCCAAACCAAACGGCTACTTAAACAAAGAGAATCTCAGAAGAGTCAAAGGAAACAGTAGAAAAAGAATAAAGATGCAGAAGTGAATAGAGCAGGAGCTGATGTGTAATGCAAGAGCCCACGGGGAACTACAAAAGGCCATTTCTGGCTTCTCAAATGGTGCAGTGCACCAACTCGCACTCAGCCATCTATCTCCCAAATGAACACAGTCGTGGTCATTTCTCACCGTCTGCAAGAAGCGAGTGGGAACATAATGAAAAAAAAGCAAGAGGATACAGAAAAAGAGTGCTGAAAGTGTGATAAAAGGACAGCAAGATGGAGGGAAACCGTCAGAAAGCGACTCTTTCAGAGGCTGATGCGGCGAAGAGGACGGGACTCACCAGTTGGAAAGGGCTTGGAGGGCAGCGTTCATGTAGCAAGTGTTGCCAATGTTCTTCAGCCCCGTCAGACCTGAAGAGCACAGAAAACCCCAGAAGTTGGAACAAGCTTCTCATTAATTATATTTAGAAATGTGTGGTGGCTCACAGGAAGTGTGGAAATGTTCACAAGACCAACTCGGTTCCAGGGATTAAAGTTTTACAGCAGGCACAGAAAAAAGTTCACAGTTTTCTCCACGTTTAGGGTGGAGTCAGGGGACTAAACCTTTACTCTTCTGTGTAATTTAGAAGTTTTAGATTTTTTTAAATTACTTTTTTTTTTTTTATTCACAAACTAAGATTACTCTGCCTTTAATCAGGTGATGATATCAGCTTTAAGCTTATGATCAGGTGTGAAATCTGGATGTAGTGATGAACTCTGACCTGAACCTTCTGAGACACATAAAGACAGAAACAAAGTCAGCCTTTTATCAACTGAAGAACATTTCTGATATTAAAATACTAATGTCCCAGAAAGATCTAGAGAATCTCATGCATGCATATTATTGATAATGACCTTTATTAAAATGTACAACTCAAACATATCTGCAGTTCTTTGACAAGTTACAAAAATGGATACAATAAAATAACAAAATAAGACAAAAATAATAAGAAAATATATTATAATGTTGAGCTAAAATGTTTAGATGCAGTCGCTGGGCAGAAACGCTGTAGAACATGGACATAAAAGCTGGGACTGTTAAATATTCACAGCAGTAAGTAATTCATCCACAAACCTTTACTGCTCGTCTGTGGGCTTTCTGCTGAGGTAAAACTGATGGAAGACTTGAGACGGGGTGAGGCAACACTCTCGCTCAGGTTGTCAGAGGAAAATTACATCTCTTTTCGTTTCCAATTACAGGCCACCCTTTGACCTAACCCAACTGCTGATTCTAACGTCGGCGCTGTTGACATGTTTATAGTTGAATTTGGATTAAAAAGCGAAGGAAGAAATTAATTTGAAACTTCGGGAAGCACCGATCCACTATTTTCACTTTCAATACCGACAGATATTTATCAGCCGATACAGAAGAGCAGAGCTTAAATGACTTAAAATGCTTCTAATTTTTAAACACAGACATTAATGTATTGAATTACAAATTTATTTGAGAACTCTCCACCAGCACAGCACACTTAAATAAATACACCACTAGGGGGCGCGATAAACAGATTGCCTTAGTCCTCAACGCGACAATCCCTCTTTCCTACGGTGGCCGACAGGTGCAAATGCGCAGCAACAGAGAAAACATGCAAACAAAAAACCAATGAAATGCAGCAAACAAGAAGAGATGACGCAAACAAAAAGCAAATGCAGCAAACAAAAAAAGAGACGCAAACAAAAGTCCCTCCTGCTTTGCTCGACCAAAACAGCAGAAGATGCCTCAGCACTGCGGGATATTGTTGATCAGATCGACGGACTATTGACGTGAGGGCTCGACAGGCAACTTTTCGCAAGTAAAGATGGACATAATATTGTGTATATTTTGTGATTAGAATATTACTATACTGTATTTATGTCCACTGGCGAAATACCAGCTAATGCTAGCTGGTATAGCGCTATAGTGTTTGGTGTTCAGCCCCCGCTCTGAAAACTAACCGAGATTATCTTAAAAAGTTTATTCTCTAACATTGACTTTGATTATCTGACACAAGAGCCTACTATAGAAATGAAACAATATAATACATATTATAAAAATCATAACATTACATGTTATAACATTCACCAGCAAAGTTTACACAAATGGCAAGCTATTATTTATTTATTTTACTCTGTCAAAGTAAGATACCTCCCAAATCTCCCGTTTTTGTTTTGAAGGTTTCCTAAAGACACGATGTGAGGAAGAAGGAAGAAATGTCTTTAAGGAGAGACGGATTCACTGCACAGCACGGATGAATCTCGCATCGGATTTTGGACCCAATCACTCTTAAACTAGAACTCGTCGGCTGGAAAACATGAGAAAAACCTATGTGTGTGTGTGTGCGCTAAACATGTGTAGCCAAATATTATTCAGTATTAATCATTGTTTATTTATGTTTATATTTATATAAATATGTATTGATAAGACGAGAGCGCTCCATTAGGCGTCTGTCCTTTTATTATGTCTGTGAGAAACGGCCCGGTCTACGGAAGACGGGTCCTTCGAAGGCCACGGATATGGACGACCAGAAGAGAGAAGCTGTAGCCTCCGGCTAGCTGCTTAGCCTCCATCTCGGCGTTATGTTGCTTAGCAACCGTGACAACGTGAAGCACAGAGCGGCGAAGGAAAAAAAACGGACTCGAAGTTTGTTTTTTTACTCTTTATATCTGTATTATTCTTCTCCTTTTGTAATAATGGCTGTTCCATAGTAAAAAAAAATCTGTCTGATTCTAAAATGTTTAAACATGTATAGCAAGGGAT